AAGCGTGGATCGACCAGCGGATCAGCGCAAATTGCGGCGACACGACGTGGTACGGCTAACGCTGGCAATGCGGCTGGCTGCCCTTTCACAACAAAGCGACCGGTAATGGTTCCCCACTGCTGCGCAAAAGCGTCCTGGGCAACAAAGCCCAGGACGATCAAAGTTAGCAGTGCGGCGTACACCGTCTTCATTGCAAGGCACCCCAGACGGGTCGCGTTACTTCAAGTCGCCACCGTCGACAGCGATATCACCCAGGTCGTTGTCGCCTGCTTTCACGGTGATTTCGAGCAAGCCTTTACGATCCTTGACCTTCTTACCACCAACGGTCATTTCCTTGATGGTGCCAGGAACTTCGTGCCAGATTTGCAGCTTGTGTTCGCCAACCGGCAGGTTCTTGATCTCGAACGAACCATCTTCTGCAGTCACTGCCATGTAAGGCAATTCGCGAACGACAATCTTGGCTGACATCCAAGGATGGATCGAGCAGCTGGCGTTCATCGGGTAACGCTCTTCGCTATCAAACTTGTGCTCGTAAACACCACCAACAGGGACAAGATTATTCATGCCGGCGTTGGCGAAACCTTCAACTTTGAAGTTGTGGGGGATCGGATCCGAATTCTTAAATTCAACAGGCTGTCCGACCATTACCGTGGCAATGTGAGGTGCATAGAGACAAGCCTTGTTGTCGATCACCACAGGCTTTTTCGCAGCAGCTTCGTATTCAGGATGAACCTCAGGGGCTTTAGCGCCGCGATCGAGATAAAGCCAGATCGCAACATTTTTCAAGCCGTTATCAGCACCGACTTCGATCGAAGGGTCTGGCAAGTTAGGGCCGCAGAACTCTGCATCCTTGGTCACGTTCATCGGAGGCAAAGCCTTGACGTCGCCATCGACAACAAAGCGACCGGTAACGGTGCCCCATTCCTGAGCGACAGCGCTTTGAACGCATACACCCAGTACAGCCAAGATCATCAATCCAAGTTGTGTCTTCTTCATTAGTAACTCCTTAGTCGGACTCTTCTCTCAGGTGGGAGATTTGTTTAGGAAGGCCACGAAGAGCATAGGGAGTCCAACGCCCGGGGGGACGTCTTATTCCACTCCACATTATAAACATCTACTGCTCGTGTGCCTGAGTTTTCTGTCGCACCCGAATGAGGGGAGCGCAATCTGTTTAATTTACGACTCTTACGACATCAATTCCACCCCCTTGGAGATGGTTTCAAACGTGTGTAAAAGTTCTCAAAAGCAGGGAGATCTGCTAACAGCCAACAGTGGCAGGCACCGCAAAACGGCGGATAGGTGGGACTTCTTCGCAGTTTGCCTGTTTTACCAGACGCATCGCCTGGAACAAGCCTAAAGATCTTCCATATACCGTCACTTTTTAGCC